TAGCAACAGACCAAACTACTTGTACCGAATGATTCGCTCTGTCCTTTCTGCTCAGGGAGCAGATCCTAGCAAGATTACAGTCTTTATTGATGGATACTTTGAAGAGCCTTTGGCTGTTGCACGATTATTTGGTGTCAGAGGAATCCAGCATACCCCTGTCAGTAGCAAGAATGCAAGAATATCACAGGTGACTTAAGGGAGGAGGGTGGGAAATTAAAGAAGCTTTGTCAAGTAGTAATGTTTTGTTATCTGTAAAACTACTTTCAGCTGAGCAGGTAATTTATTGTTAACAACTGGGTTGAAAACGTAAATTAGCCACCGTAAAGGGTAAAAAAGCTGACGTTTCGAGCGTTAGCCCTTCGTCAGAGCTGACGAAGTGCTAACACTCGAAACGTCAGCTTTTTTACCCTTTACGGTGGCTAATTTACGTTTTCAACCCAGTTGTTAACACTAAATTACCTGCTATACTCTCCCACCGACGCAGCACCACAGTTTCTTTAGAAACTTACCCCTTTCAGCTGAGAGCAGGCTTTGAAATATTTGAATAAAGGGGGTAAGTTTCTAAAGAAAATGTGGTGCTGCATTGGTGGGTAGTATAACAAGAGAACTTGGTTTTGTCAACAGAAATAAATAAAATAAAAACTATTACTCCAGATTTCAATTCTGCTTGTTATAAATGGTGTGAACTACTCTGTAGATAATGTACTCCTGAGTTCTTTTCCTGGGCCTCAAGCCATAGTCCAGTGTTACAAAGACATGGATGTCTGAATAATACACTGATATTTGGAATGAATTTTTTCGTTCTTTCTCAACAGCATTACAAAGCAAGTTTAACAACAACCTTTAACCTGTACCCAGAAGCCAAGTTCATGATCATTCTAGAGGAAGATTTAGATGTGTCAACAGATATCTTCTGGTACTTTTACCAGTTATTACCGTTGCTAGAACAGGACGAGAGTTTATATTGTATATCGGCCTGGAATGATCAGGTATGGCGTGAGACAAAAATATCACAATACAATGACCAACGTCCAGCTCGTTATCACGTTGGTTCACCACACGCACTCGTCTGTGAAAGAGGCTCGCGGTTCAAAACGATTTAGCATGCTTCCACAGTTAAGCGTTTCAGTCAGAGTCATAAATTTGCATGTTAAAAGAATTTATCCAGATTCCGCCAGAAAAGGAACATACTATTGTGCTTCAAAGAAAAAAGTTAGAGATTTTAGTGCGAGCTTGTTATATTTGATGGGGCGAAGTTGTCGTAAGGGAGCGAGATAGAAGAGGCGAACTTGCAAGGGGATGAAACTTCCGTATACCTTTGCTCAACATAACCGAGCTAATTGTTGTGAAATTGAAGAACACTCTATGTGTTTGATAAATTTCAACCAGATTTATAAACATAACCCTTTTTTGTTTCTTCAGGGTTATGAGCATACTGTTGGTGATCCGTCCCTTTTGTATCGAATAGAGACTATGCCTGGACTTGGCTGGTGAGTTGTTCAGTAGGACAAAATGTAGAATCAC